GCTCGACTGACGTGCAAATAGGCACAGTAAAACCGTCACGTAAACCTTCCGATATATAATCGGTTAATATACACACAGTTTCTTGACCTTCCCTTGCTACAGAGCTTCGATTTTACCGACATGAATAACACACTCATTCAAGCTTGACCAAACGCTTACCTTGAAGCCGAATCTCGCTTGTGCACTCGAGTGGATATTCGGATCTGCTTTTGTGTATCCCTTTCGGGCAATTACCTAACAAGCAATTCTAATCATGTTTACATATTTAACTGAACTATGATCCGTTATGAATATCTTATCAAGCCAACCGACGCTTAAACCGTCGTTGTATCTTCCCGAATGGCCACCGAACGTTCAAACAGTCGGTAAGTCTTCGCAATAGTCGCTCTAACCACCACTAAGCGTTCGTTCCGTGACTCGTTAGCTCAGTTTCACTAAATGTGTATCCGGCCAGATCCATTATTCCAATAAGGACGACCTGGACTGAACGACATATTGGTCACAGTTGATCTCCAGCAAATGTTCTTGAGCTCTCGCTAGTGACACGGCGGGACAACTGCCTGTAGCGGTAATTTCGCAGTACAGAGACAGGTCCTTAAACCTATAGCTTGATGGCGTCATGGAAAAGTGACAAACACTACACCACACATCCATCGCGCAGCCAGGAAGTTTGTGCGTGCACGCTGTGAAAACGCACAGCTTTCCAGAACACCTCTAAAGCTACATCCGGGCGTCCCACGTGGTGTTTACTTTGGGAATGAACATAATTTGAAGGGCTTTATTAAAATACATACTATGTACTTAGCAAAATTGTTAGTTCTAGTGGTACTTTTATTGCGTGAAGAACCTAGTTTTGTAGGTGTAGCTTATTTTAGCCGAGTTTGGCTTCAAACGTTTAGTCTTCTCTTAAGAAATCAAACCATAAATAGTGCGAGCTACAGAATTGTTTAAGAACAAATGTTTTCCATTGGCCATATATGATTTGAAGTTTCTGGCAATGTAGTAGAACACGGCTATAGCTACTATAGCGGAAGGTGGCATTAAGCACACTTAGCAAGGTACATACCGTATTTCGGTATGTAGAGAGCTCCACCCAATGTAACGGCGAAAAAGAAAACCTGCACAATCTAATATGCGTAATTATTATAAAATTGTAGAGAGGTCGAAAGAAATATAAAAAATAAAAATGTACAGAGTTCGAAGAAACGAGATATATTCACACAACCGCTTCTTCGATGATGCGATCAAAATTTACTGATCAGCATCGACTGCAGAGCCTACCAACGATAGCTGCTCCAGCTGGCCTACTAAAGAAGCAGCAGCGAGGCAGTCGTCGTCAAGCTGCAAGTTGCACTTCCTGTACCCATTGGCAATCGTCTGAGCGCTCAGGCCATCCCAGCTACTGCGTATCCACCTGCACATTCCTGAACGCCCTGGCGGTGCAAGCTTAAACTTTGCACCCTCCTCTCGCGGCCTTTCCAGCTGCTCCTGCAGGTCCTTAAGCCAGCACTAACGTAGACCACACTTGAACGGATAATTCCATGCCACGTCTGCCGGCTGGCAGACAGACGTAGCATTTGGCGGAACTTTCATCAGCACTACCTTAATAGAGGCGGCGTAGGCTTCGACTTCGCTGGTCCAGTGTCCACTAAAATCGTCCCCGAGGAGCAGCACCGGCTTCTTCGGGGATGATCGATTAGCGAAGTGGACTCTCGAACCCGCATAGATAACTCTCTGTTCCACCACCCTACGAATAAGAAATCCCAATATTTGGTTTAGCTCTTCAAGTGTATAAGTCAATATGAACAACTTACCTTTTCCGTTTGCAAAGATTTGTAATCCCGTTTCTTGCTGAAGTCGCTTGATTTCCGGCCACGTCCGAACGCCGAAACCCCATCGCTTCTTGTTATTTTCCTCAAGCAAGTCTTTCTTCGTGGATGGCTTCATTTTAAAAATGACGAACGGGGTTTACTTTTTCCCATCAGAGTCTCCTAGCAGCATCACTGTTGCACGCTCCTTTGAAGCACCTGCGCACTTGACCCAGACAGTTTTCGCGCCTCGCGCATTGATCGTCCGCTTGGTAGGCAAGTACTCAAAGAAAGCAGCTAGCATACGCAAACAAAGTTAGCATTATAATAAATCACATAATAGCATAAAGTACATGGTAACCTGTTTGATCCGCATTATAATGCGTGTAACACCGAGTTGGTGTGCCATCTTCTCGACTTTAATAGCAAACGCCTTCTTGACTTTCTCGCTATCAGCCGGGCTGACTTGGCCTTGCCGTGTCGGAGCCCGCATGCTCAGTCGGTGCCGGCGCCGAAAACCTTCGATCCACTTGTCTGAGGCTTTGAAGTTGTTGACGCCAGCTTTAGTGGCGACCCGCCTTGCTTGTAAGGCCAGCATCCGACGCGAAACAGGTACACCCTCTTCCCTTAAGCCGTTCACCCACTCCACAATATCTAACTCTACCTCTTTAGACAAAATTGTGCCTACTCCGACGGCCCGCACCTTGCTATAGCTACCTTTTCGTTCTTTAAGGGCAACCTCGAGCTTCTTCTGTTCTCTCCCCCAGCGCTGAATCATCATCCGCTTTAAGTGATAGAATTCCGGTGCTAAGTCATGCCAGAAGTGCTCAATTGTGCTACGCATCTTCGGCAGCGGGGCATTTGCCCAAAACGACAGAACCTCTAGCTTCTTAGCGACGGAAACACTCTTGATAATGTGCTTGGTATGATGGCGACCCTTGCCGCCGAGGCGTGGTCTTCCCGCTTGGCGCGGCTTGCCGTGCGCCATACGCAGCAGGATGGTCGAACGACGCGAAAATTAATAGTGTTAAATCCGATGGTGTTGGTGCGGTGCATCGCTCTACATGCGTTTTCGGGTTAGTGTAAACGACGACTCTGATTGGATCATACAAGGGTGCATCTCTTATGCCGGTGCAGCTCTCTACATGCGAAATACGGTGACGGGTTTGAAGCGGAAGCACGGAAGAACACGAGCCGCAGAAGAAGACTCAATAACTGTAGACTACCGAGTGTACATGATGGGATGGAAGAAAGAGAGGTATTGCTGTAGCACCCATTTAGTCATTCACTCTTGCGTCGAGGCGGAGGTAGCATCCGACACGCTAGCGAGGTGAATAGTTGCAGCCCTCTACATGTTTGCACTTGGTCGGCACTTTGAGAGCTCTAGCAGCAAAACCTATTGTTGTGAAAACAGAAGTGTAATGAGAGACTAGCGACTTGCACATTTACCCACTTGGATCACGACTGTAAAATCTCGATTAAAACCCCATGGGTCTTCGAGCATGAAGCCCCATCGCTACCTGGGCTTCTATTACGGGGGGATCTAATAAAGGGAGGATGACACACAAGTTTCGTTCGGATTAAGTGTACCATCATTAGGCTGTACACTGTACTACTCATACAAAGTTGGTTTAAGAATCGTCTTCCAAGTCCACGTCGCTACCGGTATTCTGTGCATTTGAAGTAGTGAGCGGCGCCAATTCAATACCAACCGACTCTTCGCAAATCGGCTGGGTTTTATACAGAGCGCCATATTCTGTGTGGTGCCAGCGCGTCAGCTCATAGTCAAGGCCCATGAATCATCTGCGAAAGCTGCGACGGACCACAGCATTTGGCGCTTGCGCCCACGCTTCCTTGGTCCACTCGATCATCAGCGAACGTGTTGGTGGTCTAGTGTTACCACCCGATGTGTACTTGTGCGGTTCGTGCTGCTTCCGGCTGTCAATTAGCTCAGCCAGTGCGGAGACATTCCTCCGGAAATTACGGCGTATAGGATCTTTCGCGCTTAGAGGTGTGCCTTCGATCGTTTGCTAATATGCGAGCGCGCTGAGTGAAAGACTAGCAGGAGAGAATTCGGCTTAACATATGGAAACATGTAATCAATATAGCGAATGAATGACTCCGTATTTATCCACAGCTTGCGGTTAATCAGAATGAGTACACCAGCTTCAGTGGTGTCGCTTGGAACCTTGCTATTTACCGTTAGGCATGGTTTCAACTTGGTACCATCGGAAAAGGCACCAAACCCAGCTGTAACACGCACTTTCCCGAAAGACTTGACCAGCACATCCGCCGCACCGCGTTCCTCCAGCGTTCGGTCTCTACTGTTCTCGGCAAACAGCGTTTCATCGAAGCTGACAATGGTTTGACGGGTTTATGTCGACCTTTGGGATTAAATCGCGGAGATGACGGATGAAGTTTACACCACGCGAAGCCAGGTTTATCCAATAATATTGGATAACCCTCGCCCAATAATCACAAAAACCGCTTTTGAAAATGTTCGGCATCGTTTCAGCAGCTCCATTATTGGCTCTGCCGCCAAAATTTACGTCTAGCTAGCTAATAAAAAACATTTTTGGTCTGGGACGGGAGATATTTTTTTAGAGTCTGCAACTTCGCCGGCTTAAAAGAAAGAGGAGGCGTTCATCTTAAATCGTGATTCGTACTTAGGTTCGTTGGTGTCATTTTGGTTGTCTAATTTAGTGTTGATATGTTGTGTACTGTAGACAATTTGTAGTCTGATCTAGACTATTTTTGAGCTCAGATTATTTTTACGCATACTCATTTCCATAGGTAGTGTACCCAATCCTTGTCAGTTCTCTCGGATGCCTACGAGTCGTAGTACGACCGCGCAGACGCCTCGTTGCACTGGCAGTGCGTACACGCCGCAAGAAATCGTGTGAGTGCCTAATACGTGTAAGTAAGATTCACTGGCACGCGAAGTGTTTTTTTTTCGCGGCGACATTCTTTCAAAAAAATCGCACATATCCCATGTACATGACCTTGGACACCGTTGAGACGCTAATTTGCAGCGGCAGACCAGCGTCCAAACAATGGCCGCGCCCTCGACATTGGGGCGCGGTCAACTTGGCGGAAGATGTGGTTGGTTTAACGGGGCGTCTCTTGTTCGGCATGGACGTCGTGGTGATCGACAGAACATGGGTGTGCATGTTGAAGCGGTTGAAGCTGTTGTCAACAACTGCAATAACTTTTTATTTCTTGAAAGCTAATAACTACGACTAAGCTTACAGCCGACATAGTAGAGTTTCTCACATAGTACGGATCCGACTGAAACTCTTCCGAGCAGTAGGGGAACGTCGCCGTGTCCGAATCTGGGTTGAACAGGTTCTTACCGGCGTAGATCATGACGTACACGCCCAAAACCGAGGACACAATGATGATCACCATAGCCCCGACACGCTCATACATTGGTAACTGGTTCCAGAAGACTTTCAGATAGAAAAGTAGAGGCAACACGAGGCTGCCGGCCGTGACGGCCGAAGCACCCGTGAAGTCGACGAGATCAAGGAAGTTGTCCCGCAGAAACACCGACGCCACCACAAGTAGGGCGAGGATACATAGTCGAAGAAGGATGTAGCGCAGCATGTTGAGCTTGCCACGGTACTCGGAGAATTCGTCTTCGTACTTTGCCACGACCTGGGGGGTGCCAGAAGCAGCATTGTACCTGCACTCTGGAGTGACTGGGGACGCACCCGCCACGGACGAGAGTTTCTCACGCATCTCAACTCCTTGCTCCGGGTCAACGACAGGTTGGTACTTGTGCATTCCCAGAAGGAATCGCTCCGCCATAAAGAACGCCGGCATCGTGATCGTCGAGAAAGCGATCACAATGTGCACGTGCATGAACATGTAGGCCATGATGACAGCACCGCGGCTGGGGATGAAGCCCAGAGCCGACGTCGCGTACGGGTCCGACGTGTTGACAGCCGAGAAGAGGAGGTTGCCCGAAAGCTGACATCCTCCAGCAGCGTAGCCGGCAATGGCAATGGCGAGAAAGAAAACCGTACCGATCCCCATGCTGACCATAATGATGCGTGGCATCCGCTCCGGTTGAGAGTGTTGACGTTGTAGATCTGGGATCACCACAGCAGCCCCGTACGCAAGTGCCAGATTACCGAATGCAGTCACCACTTGGTGGAGTGACACATCAGGCTTCGGGATCGACGGGTGACCCCGCATCTCCCATTCCAGAATGGAAACTCCGACGACGTCAGCTATGATCGTACTGAGGCACCCCATAAGCGCAACGGAAGACGCCTCCTTCAAGGTGGGGATTAGGCACACTGGGATGACCGTGACAGCCATGAAGACCATCCAGAAGATCTGACTGAACGTATCGGGGAACAGCACGTCGAGCAGCATACTGCCGAGTACCAAGAAAGCACACGGTATTGTAGCGGCAGAAAATGAAGGGGCTAGTAATCAAATCCCCATGGGGTGCTCAATTTTGATAAAACCAGATATGACATTTAGATATGTGATAAAACCGCCCATTTTGAGTATGATTTTGGTGTTAAAACCGGCTAATTCGCAGTAGTTTTGTCGCTACAGGCTCCCCAAAAAGGTGTCTCCGAGGACCTTTAAACGGGGAAACAGTTGCTATAATGCTGATATTCTATTGGTCAAGAGTGTGGAAAGGGCAAAACAGTTGTACAAACAGGCGTTAAAAATAAAACGTTCAAATTTAAAAAGAAGGATTTGTATAAATTTAAAGAGTAATTACTCACCATCTTCCTCATAAGCTTCTTGCGACCTCGTGCTGAATGGTACCTTCTACTAGCGAAAGCATTAAATTATAAGATTTTCATATGATATCACGACAGAGCGGTTTTAACCCTACATAGGCCAAAATGACAAGCGCACCTCGGCGAAATTGGTGTCTGGGTCGAGGTTCCATGCCCAGAGCACCCGAAAAACTGTGCTTTTCCCAAGGCGCGTCGCCTCTTTAGTTCGATCGCGCGAGTCCCGCCCTCCACTTCTGCCTGCTTTGGCCTCGGCGACGAAATAATCATATACATTGCAAACTAGGGTTTTCTCGTCCGGACTGAGCTGGTGTCTGCGTTGCATTGCACTTCCTGAAATGAAAGAGATGAAGAGTCTTAATTTATGGAAGAAGGAACTACGAAATCTCAGCTTTCTATTGTGGTAAAGTGCTTTCTCAGAAATAAGAGAATGGGCCTGACGCGGGGTCACTATCCCGAATCAATGACAATTTCAAGTGATTAGAGAGGATTTGGGTTGGCTGGCACGATGCAAGTTGCCGGTGGTGGATTAGCCATGACGAGCAGCGCCCCGTATGAAGTGACGATGGATCTGGTATGAGCGATGTACGAGAAGGCAAGATCCACCAAGACTTACCTCGGATCCACCCTTACTTGGATTCACCTAAATGGATATGGGATATACTATACAAGAGTGGATCGGGTGTGGATCCTATGAAGAAAGGATGGTAGGTGCCCTCTAAAGGTGGATCTAGTAGCCACGGCTAACGAGGAGTCAAGATCCACCGCGAGGTGACCCGGATCCCATGCTTTCGAGTTAGGATCCAAGGAGGGAGGATCCCGCCTTAAGGGACCTGGATCCAGGGTATAGGTATGATGGATGCAGTGGATCTAGAACTTTCGTGGGACAGTGGAGATCACAGACGGTTGCGAGATGATGTTGGATGAGTGGAGAGCTCAGATCCACGACGAGTGTACACTTTCAAGTGAAGTGGATCCAAGCGACCTGGATCCTGATGAGTGTACCCATAATAGGGTAACCATATTGATTACGCCATGGATCCGGTGGATCTGAAGATAATACAGCTGGGATGATGGGTCAAGGGAAGAAGGGACATGCAGCCGAGCCTGGTAAGGGATTTAGCAGATGAAAGACATAGAAGGTAGAAACCCAGGCAGGTATAGGCTTAAATATCAATACAGACCTCAATTTGCACAGTATCACGCAAGTGCCTTCCTGCCCTCAAGAACCGGAGCTACATTGGCCGTACGAGCTCCGAGAAGGTTTGGAATTGCGAATCTAGTGTTGGTAGTGATAACTGGATAATACATTGGCCAGATCCTACAACCTAGTGAGCTTTTCCTTTACTCGTGCAGATCCGACAGGTTAACCGAATTTACTACTTGGTCGGTTACACCCTAGAGGCTCTCGACTTTCAAGATCCCGTCACAGGAGGCGGCAAGTACGACGCAAAGGAACTACAAAGGCAAGGGAACACACCCGCAAGGCAGCCCTACGGCCAGATCCACGATCTAGGCCCCGGATCCATAAGCTCGAATATTCGCTTAGGATACGGAACAATCCACGGACGCAGAGTGAAGATTTTCCACTGCTGCTCCACCCCATCCCCACGTCTCGCCAAGACGCTCAAGCTTCACCACTTGAACTCTTCGGAAGTTACCGAGAGAGCAAGATCCCGCCCTACCGACGGGTACACA